TGTACCAGCAGGGTGTGGCTGTCAGGGAATATGAAGCATTGCCCTGTGTGTTGCTGTTGTATATCCCAAGGATGCTGGAGCAGGCGGGATGCTGAATCTTGCACTGGCTGCCAGCACACTGGCTGTTCCCTGTGGGGCTATTGAGAGGCTGCCTGTGGGGAGATGCCAAGCATTGCCTGCTCCTGTCCTCCTGTTTTAGTCAGTTTGAGGGCAGCACGAATTTAGACACCAAGCAGACCCAGAGTGTGCCTAACCTCACACCCTGAGCAGAGACTTGGAAAAGTCAGGGGTAGGGCTCATGGTAGAAACAGAGAAATTCCCCAGCAGATAAGGCCAGCACTCACTGCTTGCTCCACACCCCTCCTCTGCCCTCCCTGGTCTCCACTGAGTGATGTGTTTCTCTCCCCACAGGTGGTCCACAAGGCTGTGCTGGATGTGGCTGAGACAGGCACAGAAGCAGCTGCTGCCACAGGAGTCAAAGTTATCCCACTGTCTGGAAAACTGGACCCTCTGACTGTATATTTCAACCGACCTTTCCTGATGGTTATCTCTGACACAGAAACTGAAATTGCGCCCTTTATGGCCAAGATAGCCAACCCCAAATGAGACTAGAGCTTCCTAAGTGTTGGCACTTTTTTCCAGGAGCCAGGCATTGAGCCTGTCTGTGGGTCTCCATGTGTATTTTGGCTTCCATGCTCTGCTTGGCTGTAGCATGCCTAGATCAGACATGACGGTGTAACAACCTCATGCACAGACGCCTGTGGGTGCTCAGTGCCTTGCTCCAAGACTTCTTGGCAGCACTAGCTCATGTTCCTGAACCTGAAATTTGTCTTATTCCCTGCCCCTGCTCTGTCCCCTGTATCTGCCTCAACCCAAAAGCCTGAGCCCCAGCACACAGGCTCAGTCCCAACTTAGGCTCTGGTTAGGTCTCCCCTCAGCGTTGTTTGTCTTGATGGAACTATGCGAGCTAAGAGGCCAACCCACAAGGACCAAGAAGAAAACTTGCTGCCCTGTGTCTACCTGCAGCATCTGGGACCACTTGGTGCCCAGGTCTGCCTCACTCTTCCTTCTTCCAGGCTCTGCTACCCACTGCCCCTTGCAGGGTCTCCTGACCTTGTCCACATCTGGCACAGAGTTGGAGCCCCCACTTCTGCAGATGCATAGGGCCTGGTGGTCAGACCAGATCCTCTCCCCCCGGCACTCCTACTTAGAGTAAAGTGGCCTTTCTTTTAGTTCCCAGCTGACCAGCCTCACACAAAAGATGAACACCACCAACCAAAATCAAGAGGCAGGAGCAAAGGATCAATAAATATGTAACTGCATTGAATGTAGCAGTATTCTCTTAGCTCCTGTTGGCAGAGGGTGGCCTCCAATGACAACCAGGACATAGCGATTTTCACTCATAATCTGTGACTCCTGTGATGGCCCTTTGACCTACATACTATCGTGAGTCCTTTTATGGATGAGGAAACTGAGGCACAGAGAAGCCTAGTCATTTTTCCCATGACACACAGCTAGACATTACAATATTCCAAGTTTCCTGATGCCACAGGGACAACCAACCTTCACCAAGCTGAGAGTCTGTTCCTGAGGTTTCACAGTGGTGGTGAGCAGGTGGATGACAAAATAAGACCCTAGATACTTTAAAGAGGGCACCCAAAGGGGCCTGGGACCGGGATGTGAGACCTGAGGGGAGATTCTCTGAGCTTTAAGGATGTGAAAGGGAAGGGAAGCAGAGGAAAGGCCCAGCTGCAGGGGGAACTTTTGTGAAGTATGGAGTGGGGGACACCAGGCTCCACCCAGAGTCTGTGGGAGTGGGAGCAGAGCTTCTCTGTGTCACCCCAAGGCCTGCTGAGGACTTGGCCAGCTGCAGTCCCTCCTTGCCACTTCCCTGGCTTTGCCCTTTCACAGTGAGGAGAAACAGAAATCCACTTTAGGATCTTTTGAAACATTCCAACTTCCGGGGCCAACAAGGAAATAGCTGAGCGTGAGTTTAAGGTCAGTAGGGTAACCCAGTGATGCTGTGTCAAAACCAAAATGTAAGAAGAGAGTTGTGCACATGGATAACACACACACACACACACACACACACACACACACATTCACAAACACACAGACAAACATTGCACACCTGTTCAAGAATGACTCAAAGGTAGGGTGTTTTCTGACTATGTGCCAGGCTCTGTGTTCAAGTTCCAGTGCTCTCCCCAAAAGGAAAAGCCATCTTATGAGGCCTGTGGACATAATTAGTGACGTTTTTACTGCTGTCCAGGGTCAACATTTTGACTTTTCTGTCACTGACAAACAGCTTGAGGGACTTTGTTGTGTGAGGAAGGGGCTGTGCATAGACACCTCACCCACCCAGCTCCCCTAGTATCTGACAGCTGTGCAACATTGTGAGCTCCCAGAACTAAATGACAACATACTTCAAAGTGTCTGCTTTTATGTCACCTGAGTCTGTATGGTGGGGAAGAGAAAAAATTACTTTTTGTTTATTTGGTAGGTTTGTGGGTTTTTGTTTGTTTGGTTGGTTGGTTGGTTGGTTGGTTTTTGAGACAGGGTTTCTCTGCGTAGCTCTGGCTCTCTTGGAACTCACTCTGTAGACCAGGCTGGCTCCAAAGAGATTCATCTGTCTCTGGCTCTCGAGACCTGGAATTAAAGGCTTGTATCATCATGGAGCAGCTTTGAAAACTTCTTAGACAACAAGAATGTGTGGCGTTTTCTTCAATACAGTCAAGAGGTGTAAAGAGGTGGAGAGGCATCATATATATGACAGGCAGCATCTGTATGTATGTACATGTCATGCAATGTGCGTGTATACATATCCCATCATATGCACTTATCACATCCTATATGAGGCAAATAAAATGATAGCTAGACGGTGAGGAAGGACACGTGGCTCACAGACTTCTCTCCGTGCTTATTCAGTCAGGCACTTCTGTCCATCCCTGGCACCAAGCCAGCTAGGGAAGGACCGGGGATGCAGTTGCTAAGTTGTTTGTTTGTTTGTTTGTTTGTTTGTTTGTTTCTGGTTTTTCAAGACAGGGTTTCTCTGTGTAGCCCTGGCTGTACTGGAACTCGCTCTGTAGACCAGGCTGGCCTCAAACTTAAGAAATGCACCTGCCTCTGCTTCCCAAGTGCTAGGATTAAAGGTGTGTGCCACCACTGCCTGGCTTAGGACATGTTTTTAACAGTCACGGAGCTGCATGGAGACAAAATCTGGGACTCAGGCAGGTCTGTTCCAGGTTGACCAGAGAGTTTCTGATGTCATAGACTCTTGCCCCAAGGGTGGCTCTCCCAGGCCTGCTCTGCCCTGCCACAAAAGTCTCTGTGAGCAACATAGACTTTGCCTTCGGTCACTATATGAAGTTGGCTCTTCCTACCCCAGGAGGAAACATTCTCTTCTTTCTGACTAGCATCTCCCTGGCTTTGGCCACACATTCCCTTAAGACCCCAGCAGCCAGAAGAACTTGTCTCCTCGTTGACCTAGGTTCCAACCTCTCTGTGGTGCTGAGGCTGAGGGGGTCTAGGCTGGGTATATGATCTGCTAGTCCAGCTGCCAGTGTAGAACTCCCAACTATTTTTAATGCTGACCAGCACAGATTCATGAGCCTGGACCCTCAGTTCACTCAAGACCTGGGGAAGACCAAGACACATTTCACCACATACATAAAAAGAGCAGACCTAGGAGCGCTTGGGGACTAGAGCTGGGGACCTCAGCCAGGAAACTCCAGCAGTTCCGGTGAATCCTATTTTCTCCGCCTGCACCCCAAGTCTCACTGCCTGCAATAAATGGAGGTTTCTGTGCTGACAGACAGCAAGAAGGCATTCAGTAAATGCGGCGCTTCTGCTTGAATGCCTCTGGTACCAGAGAACTCATCACCTACCATATTTTAATGACACTTACTGAGTTCGTATGCAAAGAAAGAATTTCCTACCTTTAGTGTACACTACTGGGGGCAGGGTCTTGTTTGAAAAGCAGGCCCCCTATCCTGAGTGATTCTGATTCAGGGTCTGGGGAAATTTCCGACCCAAACCTCTTCACTGGAAGATCTCCGGTCCCTCACGGGAGTTTCTGCCTCGGGTGGGGGAGGGGAGAACACTATGATTTTCGTTTTGAGTGGCCCTGCAGGTAACCCCAGGACCCCTTGTGTTACAGAACGTGAACTCCTTGCTTCAGAAGGTCTGGGAAGGGTGCATGAAAATGGGAAGAGTCTTGAATAGAGACGTAGGGTAGGACACTGGGGAGAAAAGCTTTCTTTCTATGAAGCAAGAGGGCTGTTTTCAGGCTTGTCTGGCCAGAAATGTACAGCTAGCTTTGCAGACCCCCTAGTGGCCATTTGGGAGAAGGCAGTGGCGGACGTGGGTTTTCTCCAGTTTTCTCTCTTACCTCTGGAGAGTCATATTATTTGTGCCGCAGCGGCGGGTCGCAATCATTCACGCCCTGGCTGTCTTCGACCCTGACACCCTAATAAGGCAGTACACAACACAGCAGGGTAGGCAGAGACTGGTGCTCCTAACTCAAAGAGGAAAAAATAGATCTTGTTGGTCTTGCTATTTTGAGGACGTGAGATGCCACCTAGGCTGCCCCCAAACTGCCTGGCTCTGCCCTCCAGAGCTGCCTTATAGATGCAAGTTCCTGTGCTCAGAGAGAAAGCAATTTTTTTCTTAATTTCATTCTTTCTTTAAAAAGAGAAAAAAAAAGATGTGTGTGTGTGTGTGTGTGTGTGTGTGTACCCACGCACCTATCACGGGCACATATGTGGAAATCAGAGGACAACTTTTGAGCGTCAATTCTCACTACCCACCCTGTACAGGGTCTCTTGTTCCTGTCTCTCCACACAGAATTCCCGGCATGCCCCGCAGTGGCAGCACAGGCCACACACAGAGCATCAGTCCCAGGCGGGGTTCTTTAGTGCTCTGCTTGCTCCTGGTCCCTGGAGCTGTTGGGACCAGCACGGCACAGGACTGTGGTTCTCTCGGGCTCACATTTTTCAGGGAGTGTTAGGTTACTAACCATTCAGATGTCCATGGGTCTGAACACTGAGCATAGACATAAGCCTCTCTCCTCTCTGCCACCTACTGGCACACATGTGACACAGCAGCCATGCCTGCATCACTTTTAGGGACCACATTTTCTTAAGCTTTTATTTCTTGAGTTTCTTTACAGCTTCCTCTCAGCTACAAGACAGAAGTCCATCCTCAGCTTGCCCCTTTGTGCCATTCTAACACCACTGTCCAACCTTGTCCCCTTTTTCCCTTGAATTGCTGCACTGACCCCATGGATACCCCGCAAGCCCAGGATCTTTACCTTCCCAGCCTTGGCCCAGACTGTTTGGAACAGCCCATAATGTTCACCCCTTTCTTTAAATATGCAAATTCCTCACACCCTTCAAAATCCTGTCAAATGTGTATTGCCTTCCACTGTGCTGTTCTCTGTCACCCTTGCCACACGTGCAGAAGCAAGTCCCTTGGGTAAAAATCCCTTTAATGTCAACTCTTTTCTATCAAACCATGAGCTCTATGAAAGTCATTGCAACGTCACCTCCTGGTCCCTGCTGTACCTGGCACGGTGGATTATAAGAATGGACCCTCTATAATCATGTACTGAACACATCCTTGGATGAATGGATGATGGGAGGGATGAAAATCACTTATCAAGATGAAGTGATTGATACTTCACAAATGTCCTGTGGAACTTGCTCAAAGATGGATTTTGATTCAACATCTCTGGGGTGGGACTGAAGACTTGTATTTCCCAGAAGGTCTCAGTAATATTGAGGTTTCTGGCGAGTTAACCATGTTTTGTATGGCAGATACTGGATGTTCTTGTCCCCATTACTTCAAAAGGGATGACATCTATGTTACTGACAGAGGCAGAAGTGGCTCCATCCCCCAATCCATTTGTGGAGTTGATTAAACCTTTTGAAGATTCCTATTTGAAGTCTGCAAACTTTGCTTTGGAATCACCTGCCAATTATCATGTAGGATAAAATAAAGATGAGGATAAAAACAACTCACAAGACTCAGAATGTTCCTGAAACTTACAAGGTTCACAAGACCACCTACCTAAATAGTGAAAGCTCCTGGATTGAGACTTTCCCATTGGCCAAGATGTTGTTCAGGAAGCTCTAGAAATACAGTTTTCATGACTCACCACCTATGTTAGGGTAAACTCTCTGGCAATGTAGCTGTCTTTGTGCCTGAAAGTAACCCCTCACCCATGTTCCTATAAATTGTTCCCAATAAATTCACTCGTTCACTAACTAGACTTGAGTAGTGTTGTTCCTTTGGTCTGTGGTCATGGCATGGCCCTATCTAGATTGAATAAGTATTTGCTCATATCTCCCTAGAAAAAGTTATACAACACAGTTATTTCCTGAACAGAGGCCAACAGAACCCCAAATCTGTTACGGAAAACTAAGAGCACAGCCTTTGCCATGGGTGCTGAGACATGCAACTAAGCCTGATCCATATGGAAGAGGAGTGTCCAGGGGAAAGCCCAATATGGCTACCTGCCTCTGCTCATGCTCCACACCATCTGGAATGTGATAAGACACACAACCGAGGCTGAGTCAGCTAAGAATGGGAATACCCATGGGGAGAATCCCAAGGTGGCTGTCTTCCTTTTGTGGTACAGAGTGATATGCTTGCTGAGTACTGGGTGACAACGGAGATACCTTGAAAGTGGCAGAAGGCCTAGAGAATTTGCTGTGCTCTCTGAGAGCAACACCCTTGCAACTGGATTGTCAATGAGCTGTCCCTGCAGTGGCATGACCACTGTTGTGTGTATATAGGACTGAGTCCAGGACAGCTGCTTGGAGGGAACTTTCCTGTTCACAGGAAGAACTACAATGGGAAAGGGGCATGAGACTAGTGTCCTCTGCATTAGCCTCTGCCTCTGTGGGCAAACTGAACAAAAAGAGGATAAGATGGAGGTGTTGGCTTGCTGTTACTTTTTTATTTATTTTGTTTTATTTTATTTGATTTGATTTTTATGTGCACTGCTGTTTTGCCTGCATGAATATCTGTATGAGGGTGTTGGGTCCCATGGAACTGGAGTTATAGACAGTTGTAAGCTGTCTGCATGGGTGCTGGAAATCAAACCTAGGTCCTCTAGAAAAGGAGTTAGCTCTCTTAACCACAGAGCCATCTCTCTAGTCCTGGCTTGCTGTTTCTTGAGCTGAGGAATCAAGAAAGAGCACATTAGGTCTGTCCTGAAGAGCCCTTCCTAGGAGCCAAACATTTGGATTCCATGGGAAGAACTAGAGACATAGGAAGAGGAGAACACAGTAGACATGATAGAAGACACTCCTCAGGTTTGTCGTTTATAGACAGGAAGGAGAGATCCATGAGTCAGTCGGCAGACAGGGTCTCAGCATTGGCCCAGAAAGGGAGACTGACAATCATGAGATACTCAGAACCTGAACAGCTTGAAATTGGAAATACTTTAACATTGTTTTACATGGTTTTATTTAGCAGGGGAGGGTGCACATGTGCATACACCAAGGTGTGTGTGTATGTGTGTGATACACATACACACACACACACACACACACACGTGTAAATCAGGCAGCTTGCAGGAGTCAGTTCTTCACTTTGTGGGTTCCAGGGATTGAACTCATATCATCAGGATTGGTGACAAGTGCCTTTACCCACTGAGCCATCTTGCCAGCCTAAGGGACAGTAAACAATGAAAGGCATGACACAGAGTGGACTGTGGAGTGGTGAGGCACAGAGGCAAATGGGATCAACCTAAGTGCTGTAGAAGTAGAGAAACTGAGTATTGAGGCGTCCCATCCCTCCCCGAGACAAAGACCATGGAACCCAAGGCAATGTGCAGGAAATGGTCTCTGGGCAGACTGGCTTGTGCAAGTTGTTGGCGACACTTTGGCTGTCACAAGCTGAGGTCACCACGCACATCAGAGACTGGAAGAAGACAGAGGGAGGACAGGCACAGAGAGGAGAGGGATAGAGTTTGGTGCCCTGTTTTCTGAGCCGGACAGAATTATATTCACCAGAGAGTTCAGGTTGGTTCAGCAGGGATCTCGCGAGAGCTCTAGAGCTTCGTGGTCGGCTATGTCTGTATGAGTTAGAAGAGGCTTTGGCGGATCTGAATGACAAGCAGACGTGTGAATCATGTTCATGAAGTACAGAAGCAATAAGGAACGGGAGAAGGAACGATGAACACAAAGGGGCCACGTGAAGGCAAATTCCGCAGGATTCGTGGAGAGTCAGAGGACCTAGGGGAAGACATTTCAGAAACCCAGATTCTGTGCGGTTAAGCTTCTAGAAGGCCGTGGTAAAAGTAGGCAGGTGAAAAGATTAAGTCTGACCCAGGATAGACAATCATCACCTGAGAGTGCAGGCTATACAGGTCTCCCCTGGAAGATAGTACACAGGGGACAGAGTCTACTTACCAAGCCCAGAGTTCTTTCAGCCGCCAAATGTAGCTGATAGAAAGATATGGACCACAATGCTGGCCTGGAGCCTATAAAAACCAGAGAGCTGGCTTCAGGGGCAGATACAGCTGACTATAGTGCAGCCCTTTGGCTTACTCCCAAGCCAAGCGGTACAAGCTAGCACTGCTGAGACCGTCAAGGGTCCGGGAGATGAACGGTGGCTCTACCACAGCAGCAGCATGCCAGCATGAGGAGGTCAGACGACTCACGGAGTTGATTCAGTGATCCTTTGAGAGTTAGATTGGGTATTGGTGTGGCCCTCGTACACACACCCCACAACCCGCACCCCGCACCTCACACCCACGTGCTGCCATGATGCTGTACCCAACATTGCTGTTTTGAAAACCAATCCGTGCAAACGGTGGGCTTCTTTCATGTTGCTTTGGGCCTTGCTGTTTGAGCATCCCCTAAGCACTCACCTTAGCCGCTTCCCCTTAGCCACTCCCCTTAGCTACTTCCCCTTAGCCACTCCCCTTAGCTACTTTCACTTATCCACTCCCTTAGCTACTTCCCATTAGCCACTCCCCTTACCCCACTCCCCTTAGCCACTCCCCTCAGCCACGCCCCTTAGTCACTCCTCTTAGCCACACCCTAGTCTCTCTCCTTAACCACTCCCCTTAGCTACTTACCATTAGCCACTCTCCTTACGCACTCTCTTTAGCCACGCCCCTTAGCCAGCTAAAACCAATTGGCAATTACATGGAAGGGATGATGGTGGGTTTTCAGAGATCCTGCCCACTGTCTCTAAAACGTTGTCTTTATATAATGCTAACCTGAGTGTCTTACAGACTTATAAGGTATCTGGGAATCCAGTAAAGACGGACATTAGGATTAAACAGAGGCTCCCTGTGTGAATGGGCAAATGGCTCTCCCAGAAACCGTAAGCTTGTTTAATAAAACTCCTAGTGGCAGGAGTGGGCTGTCTTCCAATGGGCTGTTGTCCAGGGAGACCCCTAGGACCTAACAAACTGTAAAAATTATTACTAATGCTGTTGATTGCAAGCCAGAACTAGATGGCATGTCTCTATTTCTGAAGATACTACATGGTTTGCGATGGGCCATAGAGAGCCGAGCTAGGGCTGAACTGGAAGCGGTCTTCTGGCCAACAGGCTTTCATAGCATTGGGAGGTGCTCCGAAAACTACCGTGGGAGAACTGGCACCTGCACTTGGACTCAGCTATGGTTCACGCATGCTACAACACAGATGCGGCAGAGTATCCCCCTCCTCTCTCTTTCTATCAGCCCTCCCCCATGGGTTGCTATCCAGGCTCTACTTCCCCTCCAGTAGATCCTGAGAGGGGAAGCAAGCCAGGACAGTCAAAGCAGAGAGATCCCAAGCAGCGGTTAGGATCGGGAGAACAGATTCTCAGGATAGAGCTTCAGTGAGACAGTTCATTTTAATGGGGTAAACAAAAGCTATTTAAAGCTTTGAGAGTGTGAGTAGGGGCATACCGGAGTAAGTGTACATTGGCTGGGTCCAGGGTGCTACTCACACAAGGCCACACCTCCTAATGGTGTCACTCCCCATGGGCCAAGCATTCAAACATATGAGTCTATGGGGGCCAAACATATTCAAGCCATCACATTCTGTTATGCTCTTGTAAGCCCTTTGCCTAAAGGATGCTCCACCTCCATCTTTCTCAACACACACACACACACAACTAACAGCTC